ACAGTTCATTGGCTGCCTTCGCCTTCTTGACTGCTTCTGTTCTGGGCAGCAGATACTCCGATCCAGGGCGGCACACTCCTACATACATACATACTACATACACACACATACATAATTGTTTTATTTATAAAATTGTAGTAGTAAAAGGATGGTTAGTTTGCACTTTACCATTTTAGTAGGGATGGGTTGTGTTAATTTACGTATGAATTTTTTGGATTTTCAATTTTTCCTTTAATCAATTATATTATTATACAATACTAGCTGTTCCCGTGCGGCTTCATCCGCATGAAGTTATAAACACTGTATTTAACCGTTTGTTTTCACATTTTTTTTCAATTGCAAATGTCAAAATTCATAACAATTACCGTTACCATGGCAACCTTACTTATTTGTTGGCGGTATTGCACTTTTTGTCCCTTTCCCGTCTTGTCGTTTTTTTCCAAATCGTTTACTCCTTAAGTTTAAAAGCTTTAAAATGAAATTATATAATTTCAAAAATATATTGTAATTGCTGACATCCTAGATTACTAAGTAGTGTGTGTTTACGCTTCATTATATTAGTACAAATGTATGCGGGATTTATCAACCTTAGACCTTTATAACTGTTACGTGAGGTAAAATTATAAAAACTCCATTTTATTTTTTTAAAGTTGATAACATTCAACTGTTTGAATTATAACGAAAGCCTTAGTTGTTGACTAACAATTATCGTTACTATGGCAATACCGCTATACTGCTTGTAGTTTGTCTCTTTCTCGCATTACGCTTCGTTACAATTTATTTACCTTTAAGATGAAATTCCTCTAAGACAATTGCACATCTTGCATCTTGTTTGTAAACATAATGAACTAAGTATGGCAAAAGAATCTCATTTGACTTATTGTCACTTTTTAACTACATAAGTGACGGTTATTTTAAAGCGAAACATTGAAATAAACGTGGTTTCCGAGTTTTCGTTTAATAAATGTAAGTGTTGATATTTAAACATCCTTTAGAAACCTATACTATAGAAAAAATCCTTTCATTTCAATTGTTTTAAATAAAATATCCTGTGATATTGTTATATATAGGAATTTTAAATAAAGATTTGAATAAACGGCAGTTAGTTGTTAATAATGGTAGAAGCATGTTCTTCCAATTTTAATTTAAATTTCTAGTGACTATTGATTTTGTTCTTTATTTAGTTGTGTTAAAGTTTGAAATGCTTTATTCAGGCTGCTGTCGTACGAGCACACGTATGCAGATAAAATGGTGAACTTCTCGTCTCAAACAGACGAGCCTTGTTCACAGTTCCTGCCTCCACACGATCCTAAGGTAATTTTTTTAAATCATCTTGTTTTTTATAATTTTTGAATTAAATGTTTGAGTGCCTTCGACTTTCTTCGGTAAAATTATCTACATAGAATAAATTTGAACGTATTAATGTATGGATGGATGTTATTACTATGTAAATCCAAAACATCTCAATGATGGCGCTGAAACTTGACATGACTTGACAAACAAAGCGTATGAGAGCTAATCTTACTACTTGCTAATATTATAAATGCGAAAGTTTAGATGGATGGATGTTTGCTAGAGTTTGTAACCAAAACTCCAGAACGCATTTTGATGAAATTTGGCATAGACTTAGGGCATATTCGGGAAGAACTAAAGAAAGAAAGAAAAAAGAACAAGAAAATAGGCTACTCTAGTGAATTAATAATTACCAATAATAAAACATAGTAGTATTAAAAGTAATGTATGAAATGTTAGAAATGTGTAATATAGAGTAACTGT